GGTTGTGGAATTTTAGTAAATATGCTTTTTCCTATGTACTTACGTTTTTTCAGTCTTTTGGTCATCATTTATAAAGGGCTACTGTAAGTCAGGGCTACTACATTGTAGTTTTGAAGACAGGAAGACAAATAAGTGCACTCTCTGCCGTTGAGAATGTCTAAGTTGAGTGGAAGACCAGCTATAAATTGTAATAAACTATGGAGAATACTGTTCATACATTCAGTCTGTTAATAAAAGTTGGAGTGATTGATCTGTTCTAGAACCACATTCTCATTTTGTTAACAGTGCTGTAGCTAGGCTTCCAGTTAAGAGTCTTAGCATTATTTTCTCGATATGTTAATCAATTTGTGTTGTTGGGTTTTGTTATCTTCTAAAATCAAAATACTGACCTTCAAAGAAGTATAGGATTTTTGCCCCCAGAAGAACATGATTACCTAGTAATATTACCTAGTAGAAAAAGCTTAATGAAAGTCTTTTCTAGTCATTTTTCTAAATACCATGTCTTTTCAGGTAGATGTAAATTAAAGTGGAGTGGGTATAGATTAAATATAAGTTCATATAAAAACGTGACTAAGAATTTTTTAAAAACATATTTAGATATTAATGTACAAATAACATTTTAGAAGCCTTGGGAGGTACTGTAAACCTGGTAAAGATTTGTATTTAAGATTTACGAATAGTAAGTGCATCATATTTGTTCATCAGAAATAGAAAATACTGACAAAACTTAGCCTTCATTGACATGAACAGACTAAATTTCAGGTTAGAATCATTAAACGTTTTCCAGAACAGGAACCCTATTTTATTTTTTTCTGTTTTGGGTTTTGGCTTTGCATCCCCAACCCTATCCAACTTGGTTCTTTTCACAGAGTGTTTGGATGGAATAAGTAACAAACATTGAATTGCAGTGGCTTAAAACAAGTTTAGTAATTGCTCATGAAATGTGCAGTGTGCATTGAGCAGTCTACCTCCATCTTTAGCTCTGCCTTCTGGAACATATGGCCCCTAATGTTACCAAATCAGGAGAAAAGTGAATTGGAGGGTGCAGAATCTGCCTTTTTTTTTTTTTTTTTTTAATTGCTTTGCCCAGAACTTGGGCACACAGACTTGTCTAATTGGGAACAAGGCTGGGAGAGGATGCAGAGCCTGACTGATGAGCA